CCCCCCCCCCCCCCCCAGCCCCTGACAGAGCCAGAAGAAGCAGGAACGAAGAAGACGCACCAACACTTAATCCAAAACATCGGCTGTTTCGGGTGCCCTTTGCCCTGCAAGTGTCACCAGCCACGCACATTGCAGTATGATATTCTGCTATTCTAATGCTCTTATCTGTAAGACTAGTAGGATCAAAGAACTTCCGCTAGTCCCCACTGTCATAACCTCAGCCTTGATGACTCACTGCTCTTTCAGATGAGTCTGCTTGTTTTCCTTAAATGGAACTTGCTAATTCCATCATTTTCCCCAGTTTGCATGTTAATGGTGTCCCAACCAGGCACAAGCTCTGCCTCTGAACTGACCTGCCCGCCTGGCTTCTCACCTTGCCTTCCTCCTGCAGCCTTTCCGAAATGACCCCCCTTCTCCCATCTCTGCCCTCTCCACCCACCTCCGCTTCAGCCTGCCCATCTCCCTTCATTCTGTAGGGTCACTGTTCCTTCCTTGTTGTCAGCTCCCGTCAGTTACTTGGTCCAGGAAGTGAACTTTCAACAACGATAACAATTTAAAATATGGATTGTCTCCGCCAGAAGTCGGTCCGCTATTTTCGTGGCAGCTCCTTCCGGGTGCTCAGACTTGTGGGGACTGCATACTGGGCAAGCAGCCCACAAGCCAGTGAGTATCATCACCGGAAGGGAGCAGAGAGGCGGCTCGTTGGAGGTGGAAGGGTGGGTTGGTGGGACTTAACAGACAATATAATTCTATTGCTATGGGCTCAGCATAGCCAGGTGCAGTCAGCACCCAGGAAAGGTGACCATCAAGTGTTGGGTGCAAAGACCAGGAGGTGGGCATGGGGTCAGGGCAGGGAGAAGCGTGGCCCCGAGTGGGGAGAGCCGCGGGGACAAGGTCCTTTAGGGCCGTCCCCGGACTTGTTTTCTCCTGGCCGTCACAGGACAGTGTTAGGGGCAGGGAGGGGGAACACGGACCGCTCTCAGAAGGTTGGGCCCGTGTCCTCTAATCCGAGAAAAGAGCTTGGTCTGCTTGGTGTGGGCTGATCCACAGTGTTCGAGGGATGAGCATGCTATGCGCTCACACTCTGAGCTTTTCAAAGTAGGAACTTCCACCTACAAAGCAGAAGAGTGTTGGTGGGTTTTTTCTTTTGTGGTTTCACACAGCGAATGTATGACAATCTCTATTTATAAGCGAAGTGAGCCGTTCAGGCACTGAGGACCGAGTGTGGCCAGGATTTCTGGTCCCCCCTCCTTCACCCTTTCATCTTTCTCTTCGCCTGCTTTCCAGAAAGGGGGCTGCTGGGAGAGTCTGCTTGGCAATTTCCCGTGCTGTCAGCTCCACAGAATTCCATTTCTGAGAACCTGCTCGGAGCATGCAGTGACATTGCGTAACCTGCCTCCGGAGCGGGCAGTATTAGCCGTGGCGCTCAGAGCGACTGTTTCACCCAACATGAGAGGAGCGAGCGGCATGGATGGGGCGCCCAAGGTGAGTGATGGGGGCCTTCTGAACGGGCAGGGGGCAAACAACCGGCAGCGACCAGTTTTTGTTCTGAGTTTAATGTGTACTAGTAACATGTAAGTTTGCGATGGGAAGGTTTCATGTCAGTTTAAGTGTAGAAAGTATTTCAAGCTCCTTACCAGTTTGACTCGGATGAAAATTACTTTCTAGCAGAAACCAGCTTCTGGGGTTGGTAACACAGTCTATCCCTTTGTGTCCATTCACCTTCTAAGAAACTTCTTGAGCGAGTGAGACCTCAGCTCACCCCGACCTCTCCTTTCTTGGGACCCGGAGCACACTCAGTGTCACTCCCAAGTGTCCTGAGGATCCTGCGCTCCTGCCCCTCACCTGGGCAGTCACCGTGGGTGCTCCCCCTGCTACCTTCACGTTAACTTTGGTATTGATCTGTGTGAGCGGAGCTCCAGGCTGGGACTTGAATCAAAAAAGAGTCACTATTTAGGGAGTAGAAATGACTACAAAAAAAATAAACTTGCTCAGATACAAGGAAAGTGAAGCTCAAGGGTTACTTTGCTACACCTTTAAAAAATATAAGTAGAACAAGAAAATAAGGAAATGGAACATTAAGTGGGGAGTCTTCTTATATGAATTAAGTATATGTTACTTATTATTCTAATAACTAGGTGTCACTAGTGGAATGTATAGTTGAGTAACGCATGACATCCTCTTTTATGTAGGTCATGTGTAAATATCTTAGCTAGAATATTGTACACAACTATTTTCTTTGAAAATTTTTTAAGCCCTAACCAGTTTGGCTCAGTGGATAGAGCGTCGGCCTGCGGACTGAAAGGTCCCAGGTTTGATTCCAGACAAGGGCATGTACCTTGGTTGTGGGCACATCCTCAGTGGGAGGTGTGCAGGAGGCAGCTGATCGATGTTTCTCTCTCATCGATGTTTCTAACTCTCTATCCCTCTCCCTTCCTCTCTGTAAAATATCAATAAACTATATGAGAAAAAGAAAATATTTTAACCATGGGGAAAATAATAATTTATATTATTATTATTTATATTATTAATAATGTATATTATTATTATAATCTCATATCCTTGACTGAGATTCACCGATTCCAGCATTTATTTTATACTAGAGGCCCAGTGCATGAAATTCGTGAGTGATGTGGGCCTTCTGAATGGGCAGGGGGCAAACAACCGGCAGCAACCAGTTTTTGTTCTGAGTTTAATGTGTACTAGTAACATGTAAGTTTTCAATGGGAAGGTTTCATGTCAGTTTAAGTATAGAAAGTATTTCAAGCTTCTTACCAGTTTTACTCGGATGAAAATTACTTTCTAGCCGGGGCCTTCCTTCATTCCGTGCCACCCCCTGATGGTCAGTGCACATCATAGCGAGCGAGTGATTGAACTTCCGGTTGGTCAAACTCCCAAGGGGACACTTTGCATTTTAGGCTTTTATATATATAGATGTTTAGATACTGGCACACAGTTATTGTCAACCATTTGAAAACAAGTTGCACCTATAATGACACTTCCCCACATCTGCTAAAAACAAGGACAGTCTCCTACACAACTCCAATATCAGTGTCACATCCAAGACAAATTACCATCGAATTAATAATGCCATCCTAACATTCAGCCCACATTTTCCAAAAAATACCCTTTCTGGCTTTTTTGACTGTTATTTGTTTGTGTGTGTGTTTTTCCAAGACCACATGCTGTGTTGTTTGTCAGCTCTCTGTCATCCTTAATCAAGAATAACCCACTGCTTTTTATTTTTTACATAACATCAATTTTTTTTACTATCCCAGATGTTTTATGATTTAGATTTCTTATGTGCCACCTATTCTGCCTAGCTAATCTCTATAACACTTTGTAATTTGTAATTAACATGTATGTGTGCATATAACTTATATTTGATGCTCCCAGCATCGCCATAAAGCCCTATTATGAATATTATAGAGATAATAATAACTGTCACTTTCTGGCTGTCCATCCACCAGGCCTGCTGCACGTTCCATTACATCCTCGCATCTTCAGGAAGCAGAGGTGTTATTCTTAACCCCATTTTACAGATGAGGAAAGTAGGGTTCATTGACTTGCCAAGGCCACACGCTAGTGAGTGGAATGCCAGGAGTCAGACCCAGGCAGACTGAACCCAGAACTCGGCTCTTAACCAGCTCACTCCCGACCCTCAGACCAGCAGCTGGCAAACTTTTCCTAATGACCCAGATGGTATTTTATGCTTTGTGGGCCACCTACAATCTCTGTTGCATTTTCTTCTTTGTTTTCACAACAAACACTTTAAAAATATAAACTCATTCTTCACTCTCAGATCAGTCTTCCAGATTTGATTGACAGGTCATAGTGGCCAACCCATGTCTTTCTTAGATGCATAACGTCTCAGCCCATGCCGGCTACTCCACCCAATGGTGGAGTCTTGATCCTAGTCCAGGGACACACTCAGGGAACAGTTTCCTGGGTGCACCTATACAACTGTCAAAGCACAGAGAAGATAATATATCTCTAAAGGCTTTTCACAGACATGAGCAGTTACTGAAAAGGGTTGAGCTTCTTGCCTTTTGCAATGAAAAGTGCATGTTAGAGTTGCATTCATGTTAACCATTGATCCATTTCGTTAGTTTTCCTTTTTAATATTTTTTTTATTAATTTAGAGAGAGGAAGGGAGAGGGAGAGATAGAAACATCAATGATGAGAGAGAATCATTGATCAGCTGCCTCCTGCACATTGATTTGCCAATCCCCCTACTGGGGTTCAAGCCCACAACCCAAGCATGTGCCCTGACCAGGAATCGAACTGTGACCTTCTGGTTTATGGGTCGATTCTCAATCACTGAGCCACATCGCCCAGGCCACCTGATTAATTTTAATGCCTGACTTGTTCAGTTGCTGTTTATATGGTAATGCAGTGCTTAAAAGGGCTGTCCTGTGGAAGTGATGCCTTGGGCTTTACAGCAACCCTCACTTGCATCCTGGGGCAGCCAGATGGCCCTTCTGATCCTGACTGGGCTGCGTGCACCAGATGGTGGCAACGACTGCCGTTTCAGCTGTTCCCTGATGTTGCTGTTGCCAACCAACAGTTAAATCTCACCTGTCGCTCACGGGCTTGTTGGACTGTAGCTGATGGCTTCCATGTTCAACGCCAATGCAGAAATGCTACAAAATTAGGTCTAAAACACAAGGTGAATGAGTGACTTTATTATATGGAAGTCCTTGTTTTGGATTTTTGGTCATTGGAAAAGTGACTTATTTTTGTCTGTGTGTGTGTGTCTGTGTGTGTGTGTGTGTGTCCACGCACACACCCCATTAGAGGCAATCTTGATCTTTATGCACAGACATCTTATCTCACTGGGGCAAATGTCCAGGACTTGAAGGAGGATTACTGAGGTGCTTCATCTGTGAGGAGGAGCCCTGTCAGGCTCCCCTTGACCTATAGCAGCTCCGAGATGGTAAGCAAAACATTTTAAAGTCAGTCTTTGTCCAAGAAGGGTCCGTGGGACCGTGGGCGGAAAACTAACTCACCGTGGCCCACAAGGCCCTGCACGGAGTGCTCCTCTCTCGCCCGCCGTCTTGTCTTCACTCATCAGGATCTGAATTTGTCTCCCTTCTGAAAGGTCAGCTCCATGAGGGACACTGGGCTTTCCTGGTCAGTGCTGAATCTCGGTGCCTAGAGTAGTGTCTGCACATAGTAGGTACTCAGTAAGCACCTTGCGTTGGGTTGTGTGTGAATGAATGGGAGGTTATAGGACAGTGATGGCGAACCTATGATACATGTGTCAGAGGTGACACACGAACTCATTTTTTTGGTTGATTTTTCTTTATTAAATGGCATTTAAATATATAAAATAAATATCAGAAGTATAAGTCTTTGTTTTACTATGGTTGCAAATATCAAAAAATTTCTATATGTGACACGGCACCAGAGTTAAGTTAGGGTTTTTCAAAATGCTGACACGCCGAGCTCAAAAGGTTCGCCATCACTGTTACAGGAAGTACAGATGGAGCCCCTTCTGACACAGCCCGTCCAGAGGCAGGAACTTCCTAGTTATTAGTCGTCATCCATGACTCTCAGCCCTCTCACCCTACCTGGCCCCAGCCTGAACTTCCACGAAGCCTAGATTTCTGAGAAAAGGCCCCTTCCTTCCCCCGTGGTCAGATGTGGCCTTGGATTTGAGCTTTTGCAATTGAAGTCAACGTCACGAGGACCTATGGCTTCATCCCTTCATCCACTTCCCAAGGCAGAATATCCCAGGCATAATACCCAGCTAGAAAACACAACTCGCTGTCCGTTATAGCCATCACTCACACATAGTTATTGGGCTTGGAGGTTTGGGTGATCAACACAGAGCAGACATTCAGTGGGGACATATAAAGTCAATAAAAGACTAAATGGGCACAATGATTTCAGGTGGTGAAAAACACCTTAAAGAAAATAAAACAAGGTGATTTGATAGAGGTAATGGACAGAAAAGGGCTTCTCTGGAGACCTGAGTGATGGGAAAGGAGCAAGTAGAGGGAACAGCAAATGCAAAGGCCTGAGGCAGGAGTGGATTCAGCAGAGTAGAGTATCCATAACAAGGTCAGTGTCGTTGGAGCAGAGTACACAAGGAGAGAGAATGGCCAGGAATGAGGTCTCGGGCAAGCAGGGTCAGCCTTGTAAGAACTCAGAAGTGCATTCTAATTGCAAAGGAAGCCACCGGTCTATTTAAAGCAGGAGATGACATGATCTGATTTGTGTTTGTGAGCGCTTACTCAGGCTGCTATGCAACCAGAGGGCTGTGGGCGGGGAAGAGCAGAAGCAGGACGGGGATCAGGAGGCGTGCAGGTGCCTTCCTTGTCCATTGTGGGTGGTCCCAAGCTGTGCTCAGTGGACACGGAGAAGAACCGTTTGCTCTCTCTTTTGAAAAAAAATAAAACGTTTGGTGTTTGAGCTGGTCAGGAGATGCGAGCAGAAACAATAGTAAAGGAAGGTGTAAATAGCATGTATTTAACAACGTG